ATCATAAGCCGGCCCCAGGCAGGGGGGCGATGGGTCAGGGGCCCCATGTGTCGAAAGATGCAGCAGAAAAAGATGTCTGGGCTGGTTCGAGGGCTGCGTAGAATGTTGTTGGTTGGGAGATCAGACCTTTCATGGAGCATTCCGCCTTCCGGAAGGGGCTTAACTGGGTGAGTTGGATGATTGTCTTCCAGTAGTCTCTTGGGTCTCTCGCTCGGTGGTGTGGTCAAAAACGCATCGTCCGCTGCACTGGAGCTTCAATACATCCGACAGCACGCCTCATAAGTATGAGGATAACTATATATATATATATATATATTCTTGCTTGTAGTCAGAGGAGCAAAAAGTCATGATACTCATGCGATGCAAGGGCTCCAGAAACGAGGGCCGCTAGATACTCGGGAATCCCTGGTACGCAGTCTGAGCCAATCGCAACATGACGTCGTTCTCGTCAGAAGTAGGTTGCAAAAACGGGATGCGTACCAATTTTTTGTTTCCGTGTACCCACTCATCCTAGCCGACCTGACGAGGACATTCAAGCCGTACGTTCGGACCAGAAAGCGGTGGGACGATGAGCCAGGCTGGTGTCGCGCGCTCCTCAGCCAGGGCAGCTCGTGCCCTGAGGAGTAAAAAGGGGGGCAGGAGGAGGAAGGAGGAGGTGGCAGAGTGAGGGAGGAGGGAGGGAGGGAGGGAGGGAGGGAGGGAGGGAGGGAGGAGGAGGAGGGGGAGGAGGAGGAGCTGGAGGGAGGGAGGACCAGTGCAAACCCAAGACTCATGGACATGTCGGGATAAATCCTCCCTCCAAGCTCCTTCACAGGCCCCCACATATATTCATTTCCACTGGGGGAAGTGCGCTGTTGGGAGACAACCGTTTGAAGATCCAGAAGCGTGCCAGAACACGATTCTCGGGACTCCAAGGCCACGAATCAACCTGAGTGTTGCGTCTTGACGATCCTGCATCGCGCCAGAACACCATTCATGGGACTTCATCGCGAATCCAAGTAACTGTTGCGCCTTGACAACCCAGAATCGTTCCAAAACCTCGTTTCTGGCTCGTGAGCCATGCGAATCTGCGAAACCCCTACAATTGGCTTGAACGAATGCTCGAAGCGCCAAGGAGAGAGCCACATTTTGAAAAGGAGCCGCGCCCTCAAGCCGTGAAACTCTTGCAATGTTTCAAACGAATATGCACGGCGCTAAGGCGATAGCCAAATGTTGAAAACCGCCCGCCCTCAATCCTTGAAGATCTTGCAAAGTTTGACAACGAATGTGCGCGGCGCGAAAGCGAGAGCCACATTTTGGAAGCGGCCGGCCCTTCGTCTGTGAAGCTTTTCGTCAATTCCTAACCTTCTGGATCATAAATGATGGGGAAGTCTCAGGCGAAACGCCCGGCCCACCTTTTCGACAGGCCTCGGAGTGCGACAGGGAGGAGTTGTTTAGAAAGAAGGGGAACGGAGGAGGAGGAAGGGCGAGGTGGTGGTGGCAGTGCGGGTGCATGCGCGCAGGTGGCCGGCCAATAGGGTGCGGGAAAGCAGCAGCCCTCTTCAACGGCGCGAAGCGGGCTGCATTCGTCGCAGTTCTACTGGCGGTGTGCAGAGAAACGGCGGCACGGCGGGCGCCGAGGGTTGAGGTCGCTCAGGATGTCTGGCCGTGATCTCCAACACACTCGGGTCAAAGTGAAATGGGGGATCCACTCGGATGTTGCAGTGTCGGTGTTGGGCGTCGAGGTTTTGGACATTGCTGCGGCAGGTGAGGAGTCCTGGTCGTGGGCATGACGTGATCGGTGGCCTTGTCGTGGAAGATGCCACGGCCAGTGACGGATTGGCCGTCGCAGACTTGTGCTGCCTGGCAGTGAATGTTGGTCGAAGTCTGCCCAAATGGTATGCAGTTGTATATCGGCGATTGTTGATTGCATGTGGTAGCATCGGCGTGGTCATGCGAGACGTTCCAGAAAGAGTCCTCGATGGATCGTGAGCTGCTGCGGCTGAAGTACAGAAAGCGTCCCCGCAGTGCACAAATTGATGGACGCAGTGTTTCTGGAAGGATAGAAAAAGGTGTCTGGACGAGCCATGTGGTGATGTGCTGGCTGGGAGCGATTGTTGGGCAGTTCTGCCTGAATGATGTGCTGACGTCTACAAGATGTGCCACGATGTGGAGAGGATGACGAAGATTGGTTGATGCCGGGCCAGCGGGAGAAGAAGTTGTCTGAGCAAGACTTGTCGTTGCCGTCGTCTGGTGCGCGAGGGCTAGCACAGCCGCGTCGGGTGTCGAATTCCCGTTCGTGCCGTGTGCGGCGTCGTCATGAAAATGTCTTCGTGGCGGTCGAACATGTGGCCGTGTTGGTGTGGGGACCCCGATCTCATTTGCCGCTCTTGGTGTGGCGGCAGAGATCCTCCCAGGAGTAAGGCTTGTGGATCTTCGGCGCCCAGCGCTGCTGCTGTTGCTGCTGCCTGCTCAGGCGTCCACTTCGTTTGGGGGTGTGGTCGACCGATGGGGTGAGAGGAGGTCCGAAGATATGTGGCTGGTTCCTGAAGCCCTGGCCACAAAAAAACTGTGGCATCTCTTCGGGCATCTCATTTTACGTTCCGCTGGTCTCCGCCAGCGTTCCGGCGGCGTTCGCGGGCGGAGCTGCAGTCGTTTGGCGCCCGCCGGCCTTCCGCCCCCTCCCGCCGAAGAGAGGAAGTCGACCCCATCGATCCCTCGAAGCCGAGGCCCTTTATGGAGCACACCATGTTGGATGCTCCTACGTGGTGCAAGCAATGGTCCAGTCTATGCGCTGCAAGACGTGGTGCAATCAATACGAAAGATGATATAAACATACCTGTATTGCAACACCTGCGCTGGATCCCAGGCAAGAAGAAGACAAAGCCAGGACGAGATTTCAGACACCCTGTGGTGCCTTCCACAGAGAGTACTGCCACCTGTCCGGCCCCGAACATGAAGCCGTGTTGGATGCTCTTCTGAAGGCCAGTTCGCGTCCTTCCCTGGTGGCGTAGCAGCGTGAGAGGCTCCCGGCGTCCGCCGCGGGGTAAACAAGTGTGGGATGTTCATGGAAAGGCTCTGGCGGGCAGTCGTTGTTGCTAGCAACTTGCGGCAGGACCTACGCAATCATCCATTATCCTCCTGCTCCTTCTTGTGCTCCTCTACCTGCTCATCCTCCTCCTCCTTCTTGTCCTGTTGTTCAGTATCCTCGTCATCGTCATCATCATCACCACCATCAGCATCGCAATCGTCATCATCAGCATCATGCTCATCATCACCATCACCAGCAGCACCATCATCAACACCATTCTCATCCTCATCATAATCAGCAGCAGCATTGTTATCACCACGACCATTACCATCACCATCATCACCATCCATTCCGCAGAATCTCCCTCCCACTCCTCTTTGCCATTACCATCCTCCTCCTCCTCCTCCTCCTCCTCCTCATCATCATCATCATCATCAGCATCATCATCATCATCATCATCATCATCATCATCATCATTCTCCCCCCTCGCTGTCCTCGGAAGTCACTTCGGCTCAGCTACGCCTCGCCTCTTCGACCGACCCGGCCGCGCTGCCTCGTAGGTAGGGCCTTCGCGCCCCTTTTGGAGCGATGGTCCTCGTGGAGGAAATTCTCGACGACGAAGAGGTTGCGGGTGGCGGAGAAACGGGGATGAGAAGAGTTTCGAGACGTTGTGGACGGTCTCAGAATTCTTCCTGGGTGGGGGACGGCCTTCTGAAGGGTCAGCCGTTGTCACAGGTTTCTGGAGGTTTCTAGCGGTTTTTGGACAGGGGGAGAAGGAGGGAAGGGGGGGGGGATGGGGCAGAGAAAGAGGAGGAACAGCAGGAGCCAGAGGAGAAGCAGGAGGAGAAGGCGAAACGCTCAAAACTGCCAGCCAAAAACGCACGTACGCACACACGCTTTTCTTCCTCCGGCGCCGAAGAGTCCAGCCGGCGCAGCGGTGCAACGGGACGCATTTGCATCGAACCAGTTGCCTTGCGGACTGGAGAAGTAAATCAGGAGGAGAAAAAACACACAGACACAATCAATCGTCGAGTCCCAGGAAAATATTGGAAAATATGGGAAGTGGGGGGGAAGACAAAAGCTTAGAAAATATGTGAAAAGATGGGGCATCTTTTTATTTGTGTGTATTTATTTGTGTGTCCTGGGGCCCCTTCAGTAAAGCGAGCTGCTGGTGGCGAAGTGAAGCGAGGCACTGTCCAGGCCCGCAGTGGCGCCCGCAGGGTCCAGAGCTCGGGCGGCCACACGCACGCCTTCATGAACCGCTTGGCGTCGCGGCCGCCCGCGCAGCGAGGCGGCGGAGCCCGGCTGACGAGAGAGCCGCAGCGACAGCGCGGCGGCCGCGGGCGCACGCACACACGCACACACACACACACACACACTTTTGTTTCTTAGCAGCCGAAGGCGAGCAAATGGAGGAGGAGGGAGAAAGAGGAGGAGGAGGAGGACGGAGGAGGAGGACGAAGGAGGAGGAGGACGGAGGAGGACGGAGGAGGACGGAGGAGGACGGAGGAGGAGGAGGGGAGGAGGGGGAGGAGAGGGAGGAGGAGGAGGAGGAGGAGGAGGAGGAGGACGGAGGAGGAGGAGGAGGAGGAGGAGGAGGAGGAGGAGGAGGGAGAGGAGGACGGAGGAGGAGGGGGACGGAGGAGGAGGAGGAGGAGGACGAGGAGGACGCCGGAGCCTCAGCACTGGAGCAGCAAACTCGCACACACACGCACAAATACAGGAAAGACGCTGGAAGAAGGACCACTTTGGCTTCAGCAGGGGCTCTGCATTCTGGCCCGTTCTGGAGGCCTGGGTCGAGGACAACCGATTCGCGGCCGAGGCTCGCCGTGGCGAGAAAGTCCCTTTCGCTCCTTTGTCTGGCGCTCCTGATGGTAACACGATGGCTGCAAGAACCTCCCTGGTTCCCCGACGGTCGAGGCAGGACTTGGCACGACGGCGACGGCGTGGCACGACGGCGACGGCGACGACGACGACGACGACGACGACGACGACGACGACGACGGCGGCGGCGTGAAGGTGGCGCCCTCCGCGGGCGCGGCGAAGGCGAAGAGCCCAGCGCTGAGGGCCGGCTTCCTGGACAAGGCCAAGGTCGGCGGCGAGCGAGGGGGGGAAACGAGAAGGCGGAGGCCTTCTCGGAAGGCGGCGGGACCTCTCGGAAGCCCCTTGCGCCCTCCGAGAAGTTTTTTGTTGTGTTCTGCCTTCGGGGAAGAAGTTTTTGTTGTGTTCTGTCTTCGGTGCAGGCGTGGGAAACTTCTCGGAAGGCCGGGGGACCTCCGAGCCTTCCGAGAAGGCCCGCTCCTTCTCACCTCCCCCCCGCGCTCGCCGCCGACAAGGACAAGCCCCTGTACCCGGCGGAGGGCTCGCCGGAGGGCCACGTGTCGCAGGAGCCGCCCTTGCGCACCGGGCTCTCGCCGTGCCGACGCGGCGGCGACCACCGCGCTGGCGGTCCAGGTTCAACGCTGCCGGCGACCCAGAGTCAGCCACTCTGGAACGATCTTCGGGAAACGAAAAATGACGTAAGCATAAGAACTCGGAGGTCCGCGCGGATTTCTCGGATCCGCGCTGGAGCCCCCTGGTGGCGCCTCCGGCGCCGCCCCTGGCGCGCTCCGCGCGCCAGGGAGGGGGGTCCAGCGCGGATCCGAGAAATCCGCGCGGACCTCCGAGTTTGTATGTTTATGTCATGTCTCGTCCCCCTAGAGGCGACCGGACAGCGGATGGATGCGTTCCAGGGCGTCCCGGAACGCTCTCGGGGCGTTCCGGGACGCTCTGAGCAGGCCCCGCGGCGCCTCAGACATGCTCCAGAGGCGCCGGCTCTTGGAGATCCCCGATGCCTCGATGCATCTTCGCACGATGATATCGCCGTCCTGGCTTCGTCTTACAGTCGGGGCGTTGACCTAAGGAACCCTAAATAAGGAACGAGGCCCCGTTTTTCCACAAGGTAAACTTCGATTTCCGATCGAATACATCAGGGAAACCTGAGGCAAGCTGTGAAACACTCAAGGAACGCGGAGCCCCTCCCCAACGAAAAGGGTTCCTTCTTCAGGGCCCCGACTGCACGTTCAGGCTTGAACGATGCACGCGGTGTCCGGAGCAAACGCCGCGGTCGTCACGACACGAGCCCGCCGTGACCGTGCCGCCCTGTTCGGGGCGGCCGCCTGGCGAATTGGGGGCGGCGCACTCTCGGAGGTCTCCGGAGGGTTTGGGGCGGGTTTGGGCCGGGCTGTCGCAGTTCCCCGTGTTCTCTGGAAGGCTCTCGAAGGTTTGTCTGATGGGTATTCTGAATGGTGTTCGATGGTTTCCTGCAGGGTTTCGGAGTTTTCCGGGACCCGGGGCGCTTTCCGTCAGCTGCGCCTCGTCGAGAGCGCTCCGGAGACAGGACGTCCCGAACGGCCGCCAGAGGCCCGAGTTGTGACTTGGAGGCCAGGCGGCGAGGATCACCAACGGTGTCCGAGGTTTGCCCGACTCGGCCGCGTCGAAGTCCGTTGCTGTGTGCCGTTGCTGCCTCGTTGCGGCCTGTCGGTTTCGGTCCGCTTCAGTCTCGCTGTTGGTTCGGTTGGGCTGTCGCCGTGGACGGCTCCTGCTTGAACGCCTGAACGCTGCGGACAGTGCCTGGTCGGAACCACGACACCCTGCCCCTGCCGGGTGTCGTCTGGCACCTGGGAGGTCTGCTCCTCCCCCTCCTCCGCCCCCCGTCCTTCGTCCTCTTCTCCTCCTCCTCCTCCATGAAATATTGAAAATGCTAGGGGGTCCTGCTGATAGGTGAGCTCTGCGACTCGCTGGTTGGGGCCGCTCGGGAGTTCCTCTCCCGGGGCGACTTGAGTTTGGCGGAGTTCCGGATCCGAGCCATGTTCATATATCTCGGAGTGGAGTTTGGCCTAGTTGTTTCGGTCGACCGTCAACGGGAAACTCCTTGGTCCAAGCCACGCACACGCTCCACAAGCCGCTCCACAAGCCGCTCTACCGCAGATGGCGCCACGCATTTGTTTCACTACCAGACGAGGAGTCTCCCTACGCGATCGCACAAGCCCAGCTTTTCCCGAAAGCCAGCAGCATGGCCATCCAAGAGCGTACCCTCTTCGCCTCCCTCTGGAGGTCCACAGACTCGATGTAGTCGTGGGCGGAGTGGTTCGGCCTTGAAAAATTCGGAGGCCCCGCTGTTCAGCCTGTGTGGGCCTACGGCGCCGCCCCGACGATGCGCGCTTCCTTGGTGTCGCTGCAGTCGTGGGTCGAGAAACTCCGCCCACTGTGCCGTGTCGTCCAGCAATTCGGGGCTATCGCCTGGCTTTCCACTTCCTCCCTCGCTCCTCCCTTTTTGGTCCTCGCACTCTACGGCCTTCCTCCTTGAGTCTGCCACTCATGATTTTCCATCGTCGGCTTGCCTCTCAGAACCAGGTCGTCCGTGCCGTTCTCTGTTCCAGGCAGTGGCGGTAGACCACGTTGGCAGTCACAGGTCCAGGCGATATTCCAGCAGGCCTTTCTTCACCCAGTGATTGGGGCCATACTGGATCGCAGGATCACCAAATGGTATCTCCCGAGGGCCTGGTGGATGGGGGTACTAGATGAGAACGGCCGTGCGGCAGTTTCAGTTCGCTTGGCGTCCCGCCACCTTGAAATCCTTGCTCGGCGCGTGGACCACTTCCCAGCGAACGAGGCGAGCTCATTCGGGCCACATCTTCGGTTCCGATTCGTCTTGCGATTCCGTGTCGCATTGCATCCTGGAGTGTCCGAGATTCTCGGCCTTTGTCTCGGTCTCTCTCTCTCTCTCTCGACGTCCCTTGGGATCCAAAGGTCAAGTTTGGCCTGCTTCATGGTACTGGGTGGGTTGCTTTCAAGTCTGCGCTCAGCTTCATCCCGTGCTACATGGATGCCTCTCGGCGAGCTGTCCGCCCGCGGCAGCCCCGAGCTGGCCGCTCAAGTCACGTGCCACCGCTCGCTGGGGCCGTCAAGGTCTCCATCCGTAGGGCCGCACGTTCGCGCGCAGGCCCACCAGTACCCATCGGCCGTTGAAAGTAGGTGTTCTTGGATTCCCAGGTTCCAATCTACTTTAGGCGCCTTCCTACTTCAATGATCGAGTGGCTTCCCCTCTTCCCTCCTCTTCAGGGGGCGGGCGGAGGCCCAATCTACTTTCGACGCCTTCCGACTTCATGTTTCTACCTACTTCTTCCGACCGATGGGTTAAGCTCTGAAGCGCCCTCGGGAGAACTCGTTGCGCGTCCAGGCCACGCTCCACCGCCCACTCCTCTTCTTTTTTGGTTAGGCAAGCCGCGGAGCAAGAGCTCGTAGAGTCAGCTCCTCCTCCTCCTCATTATCCTCCTCCCCCAGGGCTATTCCTCCACTCCCTCCTCCCCCTCCTCCTCCGCCTCCGCCTCCGCCTCCTCCTCCTCCTCCTCCTCCTCCTCCTCCCCACTCCTTCTGTACGGAACCTCGAGGATCGAGGATCTAGGATCAGGTTGTTGGGGCGTTTGTTGACCCTTTTCGGGCCTCCGGATGGGCTCTGCGGGCCTTCGGACAGGTTATCCCGCCGTCCTGGCGACGTCAACGTCGACATCGCCGCAGTTTGTTTCGTAGGTTTTCGGGGGGGGGGGGGGGCGTTTCTGGACTTTCTCGTCGCCCACAGCTGGACGCAGAGCGAAACACTGGCCAGCATGGACCCGAGAGGGGTCTGGCGGCCGATTTTGAGCGGACGTTGGTTCTTCCTCCCTCCTCTTGAGATTCGAGGACTGGGAACCTCTGGAGGAAGGCTGGGATCAAGGATTTGGAGGCTGATATCGAGTCCTCGAATTTTCGATCCTCGAATCGAATCTTCCTCAGTCCTCGAATTTGGAGGATCGAAAATTTGAGGCTGGGAACCTCTTGGAGGCCTCCTGGGACCTCCCCCCGTTGCCGCGCGGCCGAGGAGCATGGCACCGCATGGGGAGCAGGAGGAGGATCAGCAGGAAAAGAAAGGAGGAACAGGAAGGAGGAGGAGGAGGAGGAGGGAGGATGAACAAAGGAAGGAAAAGGAGGAGGAGGAGGAATAGGAAGGAGGAGGAGGAGGAGGAGGAGGAGGAGGAGGAGGAACAACGCCCTGCGACTCCAAGAGACGCTGGAGTGTCCGACACCCGCCCAGGGTCTAATTGCCGCGGGCTTTTTTCGAGTTCTAAGCCCCTGCGGGTTTTGTCTGAAATCCGAAATCGCGGGCAGGGTTTCGATGTGGCTGCCTAAGGAGACCCACAAGGCGCATGCCGAGCACAAAATGAATAATGACATCCACAAGGGCATGAACCGGGGTGCGCAGGACAACAACAACATCGACCGGCCCGCCTGGTACACGCCAGACTGGCCGAAGGATTGCCAGTACAACGCCCCAGGCTGCGTCCTGAGCGAGCTCGAGACGTCCGGGCACGCCTCGGAGTTGCACGCGCGAATGGTCAGGGACAACATACGCTGGAAGGAGTCCTTGGAGCCTGGCGTCAAGTCCATCCGGCTTAGCTTCATGCAGGCCACCGACGAGGACCTCAAGGAGGTCATAGAGCGCCTGAAGGGCAATTCGGATGTGACGGAGCTGGATCTCTCGCACAATCACGTCAAGGACGCTGGGGTGCAGGCGCTGGTCGCAGCGCTGGCGGCTGGCGCTGCCCCGAACCTGCAGGAGCTCAAGCTCTACAACAACGAGTTCGGTGACCTCGGCCAGACGATGCTCACTCAGGGGCTGCCCGTGTTTCGGAAGAAGCTGCAGGTCCACTGGAAGGAGCCTGCCTGGGCCAAGTTCACCAAGCCGGCAGGGAAAGACGAGGCGGTTGCGAAGGAGGAATGAGCCCGTCTGCGACGTAGCAGCCTCGTTCTAGAAAGCTGTTCTTGCACGAGAGGAATCGTCGGGTTCCAGCGTGCGTTCCGACTCCCGTGGTCATCTGCTTAGCACTCTTGCGTCAGACCTGCACTTGCTCACACACTTACTGCACACTTGCCCTACTTGGTGAGAAGAGATCCTCCTCCACCTCCTCCTCCTCCTCCACCGCCTCCTCCTCCTCCTCATCCCCATCCTCATCCCCATCCTCATCCTCCTCCTCCTCCCATGAAAAATCTGCCATGGACCTGTCATGGAGTGGCCGGTTTTCGGTTTTGGTGTCTCCGTGGACGTCTACCCAATAGACCCCCGACGTCGTGATTTGTTCGCAACGTGGACCCCCGACCCCCAGAGGTCTCGAACTCTGCCCGGGGATCACTTCTTCATCCCGAGTAGGGTTTGGGCACGAGCAGGGCGGTTTGGGCACGCGAGGGGGTTTGGGCACGAGGAGGGGGAGGAGGCCCTGCAGGCGTCGATGTCGTCGTCGTCGTCGCAGCCGCCACTGAAGTCGTCGTGGCCGCGCGGTTCTGCGCCCGCGCGAGTTCGCGCGGAGGAGGAGGAGGAGGAGGAGGAGGAGAAGGAGGAGAAATAGGAGAAGACGAGAAGGAGGAGGAGGAGGAGGAGAAGGACGAGGATGAGGAGGAGGAGGAGAGGAGGAGGAGGAGGAGGAGGAGGAGGAGGAGGAGGAGGAGAGGAGGAGGAGAAAGGTGTGGAGGGTGAGGAGGAGGAGGAGGAGGAGGAGGAGGAGGAGGAGGAGGAGGAGGAGGAGGAGGAGGGGTGGTCGATGGCGCCGTGCTCGAAGACGTAGGCACCACCAGCTCATAGCTCTTTACAGGAGGAGGGAACGAGGGAGGGAGGAGAGAGGGAGGGAGGGGGCAGGGATGGAGGTAGGGAGGGATCGCAGGGTCCATGCCAATCCGTCTCGGTGTCATTTTTGCACGGCCGTTTTCGATTCGATTTCGACGCTCCAACGATCCGATGCGACCCGATGCTTGCGTGATGCTGTCGGGCACCCTGGCACGACTGATTCGATTTGCATCCGACTCCGTGCCGACACAGCCCGATTCGATGCATGTTCCGACCCGATCCGATTTCGGGATTCGATGGCGGTTGCTCCTGGGGAGGGTGGGAGCGACCCAGGCATCCGATGTATTGATGTTTCCAGGACGAGGTCCTGGGAAGTCCGGGCCGTTTCCCCCAGGCCGGCTTCTCATCCCGAGTCGCCTTTGGAAGGCCCCAGGGCCCAGCGAGGGCCCCCAGAGGTCAGACACTGATGATGGGCCGATTCTACACCACCACTACCATAGGTAGGAGAGGGAGGAGGAGGAGGAGGAGGAGAAGGAGGGGGAACTTCCCATCCTCCCTTCCCCCTCGTCCTACCTGTGATAGTGGTGGTGGAAAATCGGCCCATCAATCGAGAGAAACCTTTATCTTGTGCGTCGGAGATCTGTGGATGGGGGCGAGCACGGGCAGGACCGGGACAGGGACAACTCGTTCGAGCGCGCTCCCAAACGCTCTCAGAGCTATCTGGCCTGCTCTGAGAAGGGCCGTGGCGCCCGACGCGCCCCACCAAACCGCCGGATCTCAGAGACTCTTTTTTTGAATTCAAAAGATTGGCCTGGTGGATTCAAAGCAACGGCTTTTCGAATTCCAAAAAAATAGTTCTTGGAGTTCACAGAAATGTACCCTGTCCTGGCTTCGTGTTCTCCTCCTCGTCCTGTTTCGTTGCGAGGGCAAGTCGTAGCGAGGGGGAGCGGACCACGGAGGAGGAGGGCGTGGAGGAGTAGGAAGAGGGGGGTGGAGGACGAGGGGAGGAGGAGGAGTGGGAGGAGGAGGAGGGAGGAGGAGGAGGAGGAGGAGGGGAGGAGGAGGAGGAGGAGAGGAGGAGGAGGAGGAGGAGGAGGAGGAGGAGAGTGTTCTCCCTGTGCTGGCTTCGTGTCGGGAGGGAGCGATGGCGGGAGGCCCCGCGGCAGCGCGTCCGCCACCGCCCCCCCGGCCGCCGCCCCCAGGGCGGGCCGCGGAGGCGGGCGCCGCGGAGGGCGGCCCGGCCGAGCTGGCCGGGCGGTGGTGGAACGAGACGGCGGGCGGGCGGGCTAAAGCGGGCTAAAGGCGGGGCAAAGCAGCGGGCACCTCCCGTGCACCTTCTGGGCCCGCGGTGGCCGCTCAGGGGCAGCTCTTAGGGTCTTAGGGCCCACTCTGGGGGCCTCTCGCCTGCAGCCCTCGACCCGCCCGATCGGTGGTTCAAAGATGGGGTCCTGAGGGATGGGGTCCTGAGGACACTCCGAGTTTCTGAATACGCGTCGGGGGGTCGTCATCCCCGCCGACGAGAGGGCCATAGGATCGGGATGAAGCGCTCCACAGCGTTCCGGAGCGCTCTCAGAGCGTTCCGGAACGCTCTGGAGCGGCCGCGGCGCCCAACACATCCTCCAAACCCTGCGCCTTCTCAGAAGCAGCCTGCTTCTAAGAAGCCCTCCCCCCTCCCCCCACCCCCTTGTGTGCGGCGGGCGGGCGGGCGGCGCCTCGGCGGCGCCGAGAGCGACTCGACGACGCGCACCTGGCATCGCTCGGACGTGTGCATTTTTTCTCGGCGAGGGCCATCGAGGAGCATCCTTGATCATTTGGCGAAAAGAGCACGCACGAAAAAACACAAAAAAACACAGGGAATGGACGTCCGAGCGATGGCCAGCGTAGGAGTGCCCTTCGCCGGAGTGGCCGTGAGTGGGGGCTCACTGGGGTCCCCCCGTTCGCCGGACGCGGCGCGACGGTGGCGTTTTGCGCGCTTGTGTGTTTGGTCCGTGCTCAGAAAGCCGCGCACCAGAGATCACTCGTACCCGGGGTCGCTCCTGCGTGTGTAGCCGAAGGACGTCAACGTCGTCGTCTTGGAGGTTTTTCCGGCCGTTTTTCCGGAGGTTCTCGTGGCCGCCGCCGGGCGCAGTTCCACAGGCGGCCCCAAGATGTACCCGGGTCTGGGGACCCGTGTGGAACGGAGTTTGGGTAGGTGGCAGAGCGAGGGGGTGGCCTCGGCGGCGTTCAGAAAGTTCCGAGGATCGAGGTTCAGAGATCGAGGTCTTCTGACGTTTTGTGGGTTTCCAGGTGGTGTTCTCGTCGCCACGGCTGGATTCCATTGGAGGTCCCGGTCAGAGCGCACCGTGGAGAGGGCCAGGGGGCAATTGTTGAGGCTCACTTCGACGGCGCGCACAATGATGCGGCGCGGGGGGCGAGGGCGATGGGCCTACGAAGGAGGCCGAGTGCTTCTCGGAAGGTCTCAGAGGATGTCTGAGAAGGGGGAAGGGTTTCTCAGAGGCCCCCTGGCGAATAACCAAACATCCCGGGCTTGCCCTGGCCATCATACCTGACTGACATCCGCCAGACGCCGCAGGCTGCGTTGCGTGGTTCCGCCCTTCGAGGGCCTCCTGGTGCGTCCTTGAGCGATCATACCGTTTGAACCCCGCTCCGCGGGCCCTGTATTTTTTGTTCCGTCCCTCCCTCGTCGTGTTCGTCGTCGTCGTCCCGTCGTCCCCATTCTCTGCCTCCTCCGTCCCTGGGTTTGCGTTTTCTCGGCTGCGCGCTGCAAGAGACAAGCCCAAGGAGACCCAGGCCAGAGTCAGCCCTGATAGTACGGATGATCGACTTCCCAAGGATGCTCTTGCAGCCTTGCCTCGTCGGCCATCTTGGGTCCATCCTCAACCACTTCCGATGGCTGGCCCCGCTTGGAGAGAGCCTCGGCATGGGCGTCCAAGGCCTCGTTGCATCCTTACCCCGCATCCTTACTGCATGGGTTGACCGTAGCTGCATCGAGCTGCACCCGTCGGGGCACAGACAAGAGCTCGACACTGCGAGAAGAGGTGATCTGCTGCCTGTGGGGCGGCGCCCCCCGCACAAAACCTCACGAAGAGAAGAGTCGACACCGGCGGGCGCGAGGAGGGGCCAGGCGGCCTATCCAGACGAGATGCGCCCGTTCGGGGCTTGCCTCCCTCGTGTGGTTGTCTTAGACGGCCGGGCCGAGGTGTAAGATCGAGGTCGGCTCGGCGAGGGCGTCCTAGGGTTCTTCGTGTTCGTCGTGTGCTCTTGTGCATCCTGGGGGAGGGTGCCCTCGGTGATCGTATGGTTCGGGGTGTGTTGGACGGGGGGGAGGGTTTCATGCTCTTGGTGGATGTTCTTCTGCCCTAGGTCCGGCCGCAGTTGCGCTCGACTGCATGCATCGTCGAGGGCGTTCTTTTTCAACGTTTGACATTTGCTGTGCCTTGGCCGCCTCGACTCACCCGGGCGTTCCGAACGCGGCGCAGGAAAAGGGGGGACGCGAAAATTGTTGTTCGGAGGTTCGACCCCCCCTTCTCTCGTCCACCCTCGTCCGCCCACCTCCAGAGGTCCCAAGAGGTCCAAAGAGGCCTCTCCGCAGCCGTGGCTCGAGAGTCAATCTGGCTGCAAGGTCGCGTGGGCGCGGCTTGCGGTTGCACCGCCGCTCTCGGAAAGGAGCCGCAGTATGCGAAAATTAAGTTTCATATTCATATTATTGGCGCCTCCTGCTCTGGACAGCTACAGGGATGGCATCTTCGATAGCCACGCCGTCTCCCGCGCCATGGCCCAGGACCAGGAGCGCATTCACGTAGCGCATAATGCGGTGGCCTCTGGTGTTACCGCGACCTCCCCGCACACCAACATTTCAGAGCTGCCGAGTGCTACCAAAAAAAGCGAGCTGGACTCGACAGCGGAAGCGGCCTTGACACAAGACGCCGTGCAGGATGCAGAAGACAGCGACCTAGCTGCGCAGAGTTACGTGGTGACGTTGCACCCGGGCCCGCAAGGCTTGAGATACAACGAGCACACAGGACAGGTAATATGGGTCAAGAAGGGCGGCATAGCAGAACAAGTTGGCATCCAACGAGGGGATACGGTGGTAAAGGTAAATGGTTCCCCGTATTCCGAGGGAGCTCTTCACGAAGCCAGGGCGAAGGCCAAGCCCTACGAGCTTGTTGTGTGGAGACAGTCGTTGACTGAACGAATTGCGGGTTGGACTCAGTGCCTTTCTGATACAGCAATTTGCACATACGTAGTACTGAGGCTCATGCACGCTCGATTCTTCGTGACAGGAACGCAAGGCGGAAATCTTGTGCTGGCATGCATGGCCAGTTCTCCGGTGCTGATCTTAGTCTTGTTATCATCGTGCGCACGTGTTATCTTCCTTTGCACGGCTCTGATGAGTCTCAATGTGTTGCCCGTTTGTTATCTCTCTTTATGCATCTCGTTCAAATTTAGCCTGGTTGTGGGAGCGTATCGACTCTGTAACGGCCCGCTCGCGCAGATGATTCCATCGGAGGTCGCACGCACACGCACAGATTCATTGGAGCGCGTGTTTTTTAGGATATCTCTGGTTTACTGGTTCATTCGAGTAGTTAGTGCAATTCGACTGTATACTTTAAGCGGTCGGCAGCTAGGGCGAGTTTTCCTAGCGTGCTCATTCGGCGAGCAAGGTGAACCACAACAGCTTTCTCAGTGGTTCTACCTGTACGGGCTCGTTTGGGGATACGCTCGCGTGACTGAGGCTTGCAGCGGTCGCTTGCATCAGGTGTCTGAAGCATTACCGTGTGACGGGGAAGTGTTCGACGAAAAAGTGAGAAAACCCATTATTGAAATTGTCAGCGATTTGTGCCCCGCGCTGTCATACGCTGGCATGCCTATCTTGTTAATGTGCGCTGGCTTGGTGAGAAACTCGCTGGAAGTCATGCCTCTGTTGGTGAAGATGATGAGTGGAGTGGCCTTCTTCGGAAACGGCGTGGGGACTGCCAGGGTTGTCTTCGATGCGATTATTATTGCGGTCGTTCTCACAGAGGCTCCCTTCGGTATTTCGTCTGCACAAGAAGAACTTACGAGCAAGCTTGCCGAAGCACGCACCCGTGATCCCTCGCTGCATGTGCAGATCGCAGCGGTCGAGACAATGCTCGCCCAGACGAACCGGGGTCAAGGCTTCGGCATTCCAGCCGGACGGACATGTGTGCTCACCAAGGTTTTCTTTCAGACGTTGTTCTTTCGCGTCGCAGCCACCACAACAATTTTGATGACAGTCGCGAAGCACCTTCTTGGGTACGAGCAGGATGAGAGGAGAGCAATGAACGACCTGCTTGTGAAGACTGATTTGATTTTCGCTGCCCTTAATCGGAGCCACAACACATCCAGTTTGTGACAGGGCACGACCGAATAGGGCACGACGGGAAGATCAGGACTCTGGCGTTCGAGTTCCCAGGAGAAGGAGTGCTAGAGGCAGTTGAATGTGGAGGAGGGTCAGGGGGAAGTCACTTAAGGAGGGCGACGACGACGAGTATGAGACAACAGAGGCTGTGAAGGAGGAGGGGCAGAGGAAGATGGGCGAGAAGGTCCTGGGGACCCCCTCTCCTTTCGTCCAGCCCGAAGATGGGACCTGACATGGGAACTCCGCTGCCCCATAACCTGACAGTGCACCGCGGGAGCCCCTGGGCTCAAGCGCGTGAGTTCCAAGAGGAAGGAGGGGGAGAAGGAGCCGCAGGAGGAGGAGGAGGAAGAGGAGGCAGGAAATCTCTTGAGGAGGAGGAGGGGGAGGCGGAGGAGGCGGAGTAGGAGGGGCATGTAGGGGATGACGAGGAGCAGGAGGACCGCTGGGAAGAGGGATAGGAAGAGGGAAATAAGAAGGTTTTCCTGACCCCCTCCCCCGACATACACTTTCGTCAACCCAGAGGGGGATTCCTTCCCCTGGGAAATCGGCGGCCCCATGATCTGACAGAGCACGATGGGGGGGGCCTGGGCTCCAGCGTGCGTGGTCCTGGGGGCGATGCTCGAGCCGATGTGTTATCCCTCCTCCTGCTTGTCCTGCTGCTCTTCCCTCTTCCGGAGGTCCCCAGAGGTCCCTGGAGATTTCCAGCGGTCTCCAGAGACCCCAAAAGGCTTCAAAACGCTAAAACAATAAATCATCCCCCTCACCATCACCTCTTCATCACCGGCGTCGTCACCATTATCACCGCTGTTATTATCATCATTAATAATAATCATCATCATCACCCCTCACCATCACCTCTTCATCACCGGCGTCGTCACCATTATCACCGTTGTTATTATCATCATTAATAATAATCATCATCATCATCATCATCATCATCATCATCATCATCATCATCATCATCAGCATCAGCATCAGCATCAGCATCAGCATCATCGTCATCGTCATCGTCATCGTCATCGTCATCGTCATCATCATCGTCATCATCACAATATATCTCCATCATCATCCATCACCATCATCATCACCATCATCATCATCGTCGCCATCGTCATCGTCATCGTCATCATCATCATCATCATCATCATCATCATCATCATCATCATCATCATCATCATCATCATCATCATCATCTCCATCCTTATCCTCACCGTGGGCCACCACTATCTCATCCTCACCATGCATCACCACCACGACCAGTCTCCTCCTCCTCCTCCTCCTCCTCCTCCTCCTCGCATGGCTTTCGTGGCTGCCGCGCCTGCCGCACAGGGCGAGCGCCTGGCTCATCAGGCCCGCCGGCCTTGCCCACCTTGGCACGGATGACTGCCCGTGCGCGTGCCCGCCGCGGGCACCATGGGGCGTCCGCGTGCCATTGCAAAGTGGAAGCGCCCCCCTCTCACCTACAACTGCATAGTATGTCTGCTACCCTCCTTTCTCCCCTGATTCGGGCCGGAGGATATCCCGCCCTCTCCGCGTATTGTCTCCCACACAGGATTCAAACGTTGTTCTTTTGTGCGTGCTTTTGTTTCAGCGTGATCGTCTTCTGTCCTTCAAAATTGTGTTTCCGATGCAGCGCTGGCCTCATTTCCGCGCTTTGGGTCCTTCAAAATCGTGATCCCGCTTCAGCGCTGGTTTCATTTCCACGTTGTCGGTCCTTTCGAATTGTGTTTCCGCTGCAGCGCTGGTCTCATGTTCGCGTTGTCGGTCCTTGGAATGGTGCTCCAGCTGCAGCGGTGTCCTCCTTTCCGTGTTTCGGTCCTTCCGAATGATGTTCCCGTTGCAGCATCGGTCTCATTTGCAAATTGTCTGTCTTCCGGGATGGTTTTCCGGCTGCACCGTTCACGCAGCCATGGTGTGCAACTCAATGTTGCTGTATGTATTATTATCATGCGGTTCCATACCGTGTTCTGCAATGTTGGGCTATGCAGTGCCAAGCCATGCACTAGCATGCCAGCCATGCAATGCTTTGCTAATCGTTGTCCCCTTCGACATCCGGCTGTGCGAATAGAGAGGGGTTTTACACAATGGTGAATGATGGGAGGGGGCAGTAGGACGTCTGATCTAACGCTCGCGCACCTAGCTTGCTTCCCCCTCTCCCTCCGCCGCCGCGTCCTCCCCTCCTCCCCCTTCCTGCTCCTGCCTCCTCCTCCCCCTCCACCCGCGCCTCCTGCCCCTCCTCCTCTGAATGCCCCCCGTCTCCTCCTCCTCCCCGCCCTCTCCCTCCTCCCCCTCCCCCCTTGTCCTCACACTGCTGCTGTAGGCTGTCTTGGCCTGTGGCCCGAGGCCTTCGCCGCCCCCCCTGCCAGTCCTGGCAGCGGGGGGGGGGAGTCCTTCTGAAGATGGCTCGCTCGTGGCCGCCAGGAGCTCCTCCTCCTCCTCCTCCTCCTCCTCCTCCTCCTCCTCCTCCTCCTCCTCCTCCTCCTCCTCCTCCTCCTCTTCCTCCTCCTCCTCGGGGGGAAACCCAGGAGGAAGGCCGACCAGAAGCGGGAACGGCACAAAGGCAAGCAACAGCGGGACAGGAAAGAGAGGAGCGTCGGAGGAGCAGTAAGGGCTGGTCTGCTCCCTCGTCTCTCTCACACCTCCCAACCCGCCCCCGTCCCAGGCGGTGCACTGGCGGGACGCGCTCTGGTCACGTGGAGCCTCGGCGATGTCCGGCCTCGTACAACGATCGAGCCTGCATTGCTCGAGGTTGGTGTGGTTGGTGTTGTGGGGGCGAAGATGACATCGTGGTTGGTGTTGTGGTTAGTGTTGTGGTTGGTGTGGTTGGTGTTGTGGTACTCGTGGTTGGTAGGAACGAAAATGACATTGCCCGTGTTCTCGCAGGTATCGTCGGTGCACTCGGAGTTGTGCGAATCGGGGTCGGCGAAGTGATCGACCCTCGCGAAGCGCGCAGAAAGGGTGCGGCCGCGATGAGCGTCCTCCTCCTCTCCCTCCTCGCCCGCGTAGGCCTCGGAGCTCGCATAATTCTCCAAGTGCTGGCGGTCGGAATTGGTTTCAACCGGGAGTCGCCGCTCTGGAAGTCAGTCACTGGGCGTTGGCGGCAACCAGTCGGCCTTGGAGTCTAGGTCCATGGTCTCGCACGTGGCAACTGCGAGGGCGTCTCTCCGCAGTGGCGGCATCTGTGAAGGCCAGCTGCTCCTGCGCCAGGAGCCGCGTGAATGCGTCTATTTGGCCGAGAATGGATCGGTGGAGATTCGCGACGCCATGTGCGAGGGCACTTCGCCTGTGCACGCCAGCGTCCTCCTCCGGGTCGTAGAGAGGCTCCTCAAGCACTCGCCGTGGCCTGCGCGCGGGCGCGGGGATGTCCGGGCGCTGCCGCCCCGGGCTCCCGCGAAGAGCAGCGCGCAGGGCCCCTCGGGGGTGCTTCTCCGCCTCCTCGCTCTCGCCCTCGCGGGCCTCGCAGCTCTCGGACGCCTCCTCCTCCCCGCGGAGCCCTAAAGGCGGCCTCCGCGTGGCGCCCGAGAGAGCGGCGCCTCGAGGCGGTCGGCGGCCCGTGGGGGGCGCTGCGGCAGGCGAGGGCCGGCCTCGGCGCCTCGGCCCCGCGGGCCCCCTGCAGCCCTCGTGGCTGTGGCCGGGCGCTCCCCCAGTCGGGTCTGCGGGCCGCTTTGGGCCTGCGCCCTGTGGGGCGCCCTGGGTTCCAGCCTCCGAGGTGCCCGCGATGCGGCGGCGAGCGAGGGGAAGGGGGGGGGTGAGCAGGAGCAGGCCTTCTCTGAAGGCGGGCGGGGCTTGGCCTCCAGCCTTCTGAGGGAGGTGTTCTGTGTCTTCGGGGAAGGCTCACAGATCTTCTCAGCAGGCCTCTTGGGAACTTCCGAGCCTTTGATAAGGTATTCTCTTTTCTCAACTCCTCCCAGGCTCGCCGCCGAAAGATTGCCTGTGGTGTCCTGGGCTAGCGGCGTTCCGAGCCTGTGCGGCGCCGGCAGGGATGTCGCTGAGGTGGTCGCCTTGGGCCCTGGGTGTAGGTGCTGGCGGTGCGGTTCTCCTTGTCGACGTCGGTCCTCTTCGGGTCATGCATGGCCGCGTCGGCTAGCAGGGATGCCCGTAGGGCGGGCGGCTGTGTGAAGTTCTGGGATTGCGGATACGCGACCACGCCGCACCTGCACACGACGCAAGACGCGGCCCGGCAGCCGCTGGACCTCGTCGACGATGCATTTGGAGCCGACGGCGCTGTCGGCAGGGATGCTGGGAACAAAGACAGCGGCGTCCTTAATGGAGGGTGATGATTAAAAAATGACCGGGGGTCGTGTTCACGCGCCGGCGCCCGGGATGACGATTAGAAAAAACCGGCCCTGGGCTGGGAAACTATTTTTTAATCGTCCCCCCCCCGCCGTCCTCGGGCGCGCGCCCCCCCCCGGTGACGAAACACCGCACAGGCGAGCCCTGCTTCTGAGCGTTCCCCCCCGGTGTGGGAAACTATTGTTTGATCGTTCCCCCCTCCTTTTTGTTCTTAATCGTCATCCCACATTACGCATGACTGCCTTCACGTGTGAGATGGAGGCGTCAGGGCAATGCCTCCAAGTGGTGGCATCCGGGAGCCGGCCCCGTCGTTATAGCCACTGGCCCCGTTGTCGCCAGAGCTCCGCCTGTCGCCGCCGGGTGTAGATTCTCCCCCCTCCTCCTCCTCCCCCTCCTCCTCCTCCTCCCTCCTCCTCCTCCTCCCTCCTCTCCTCTCCCTCTCCCCTCCTCCTCCTCCTTCCTCTCCTCTCCTCCTCCTCCCTCACTCCTCCTCCCTCACTTCCTCTCCTTCCTCCTCATCTCCTCCTCCTCTCTCCTCCTCTCCCTCCTCCTCACCTCCTCCTCCTCACTCCTCCTCCTCCTCTCCTATCCTCTGCTCGCCTCCTCCTCCTCAACATTACACAATATGAATACTACTCTACTCTCTCCCCTGGTGGCGTCTGGGAAATGGCCGGGCCCCCTCCGCGCACTGGTTTTTGACACAGGACTCCTGGGCAACGGGTGCTCGCCTAGGTTTTTTTTTTTGAAAATGCTGCTCTCGCTGAAGCGCTGGCTTCATTTCGGGCTACCGCTCGTTCCGAATCGTGCTCCAGCTGCAGCGTCCTGCAGTGCACGCTCTGCCTCCTGCTGCCTCCTCCTCGTCCTCCTCCTCCTCCCTCCTCCTCTCTCCTTCTCCTACTCCACCACCTTTTCCTCCTCCTCCCTCCTTCTCCTCCTCCACCTTCTCTCCCTCGGACACGCCTGTCGTGCAGCGCTCCTGGCTGCACCGGCGTGTGCTAAGCGGGGGTCCTGGGGTCATCGGCGGCCCTTCCGTGGTGCGCCGCAGGGGCCCTAATCCCACCAGCCCTCTGGGCGTAGGTGGTCTAGAGCAGATCCTCTTCCACCCCTCCCTCTTCCCCCTTGGGGAGGGGTTTACCCCTCCCCCTACCCCCTCCCCTGGACCTGGACGGGGGGGGCCGCGGGTAGTTAGAGCGTCCAAGATGGCCCAAGACGGCTCCAAGAGCGCCTCAGAGAACCCAAGATGAGCTCCAAGATGGCTCAAGATAGCGCAAGATCGCTCACGATGGCTCCTAAGATGGTTCCAAGAAGCCCAAAGACGGCCCCAAGATAACTCCAAGTGGCCAAACAGCTCCCCAAGGAGGCCCCGAAGAGGCCAAAATCGTCCCAAAACCTAAGGAAAATCAATGATTTTTGCTTTCTCGCCTTTTCGCTTCCGATGGCCATCCGAGGCCTGGAGATGGCTCCAAGATGGCCCAAGAGGGCCCCAAGAGAGCCCCAAAAGAGCCCCAAGACGGCCCCAAGAGCGCCCAAGAGCACTCCAAGAGCGTTCCAAGAGGGGTCCAAGAGGCGATTTTAGGGGCTTCCGAGGGGGGACGCTAATTAAACCCCCCCTCTTGTTTGATCGACTCCCTCCAAGATGGCCCCAAAAGCGCCCCGAAGGCTCCCCAGAGCGCCTCAAGAGGGTCCCAAGAGGCGCCCAAGATGCCCCAAGGCGCCCAAAAAGCCCTCCAAGAGGCCCTCAAAAGACCCCCAAGAAGCTCCTTCCCCTCCTCCTCCTCCTCCTCCGATTCTTCCTCCTTCTCCGTCCTCCTCCTCCTCCTCCTCCTCCTCCTCTTCCTCCTCCTCCTCCTCCTCGACGACGACGACGACGACGACGACTCCTCTTCCATCCTCCCCCTCTCGGGGTCTGTGACAGCTTCCCCCGCCCTTTGTTATTCTGCATGCTCCCCGACTTCCCTGATCACCTCAACTCCCCTGAGCATCGTTTCTGGATGGGCTGGTGGGGATACGCGAAGCGTCAACAATTTCGCTTTAGTGATGGTTGCGAGGTGTACCCGCGGGAGCCTCCCATCGCTCATTCCATATTGGCGGAGGGGTTGGCATATCAGCCTATTCCTCTGCCGTCTCCATCCACTGTGCGGTGCTATCGTTCGCTTGACTCCACTGTAGGATGCTCTGTCG